TTGGGAAGGTCAGCAGAGCTGCGGTGAGGTGGGAGAGAGGATGCGGTGAGGTAGGAGAGAGGATGCAGTGAGGTAGGAGAGAAGATGCGGTGAGGTAGGAGAGAAGATGCTGTGAGGTAGGAGAGAAGATGCGGTGAGGTAGGAGAGAAGATGCCGTGAGGTAGGAGAGAGGATGCGGTGAGGTAGGACAGAAGATGCGGCGAGGTAGGAGAGAAGATGCGGTGAGGTAGGAGAGAAGATGCCGTGAGGTAGGAGAGAGGATGCCGTGAGGTAGGAGAGAAGACGCGGTGAGGTAGGAGAGAAGACGCGGTGAGGTAGGAGAGAGGATGCCGTGAGGTAGGAGAGAGGATGCCGTGAGGTGGGAGAGAGGATGCGGTGAGGTAGGAGAGAAGATGCCGTGAGGTAGGAGAGAAGACGCGGTGAGGTAGGAGAGAGGATGCGGTGAGGTAGGAGAGAGGATGCGGTGAGGTGGGAGAGAGGATGCTGTGAGGTGGGAGAGAAGATGCTGTGAGGTAGGACAGAAGATGCGGTGAGGTAGGAGAGAAGATGCCGTGAGGTAGGAGAGAAGACGCGGTGAGGTAGGAGAGAGGATGCGGTGAGGTAGGAGAGAGGATGCTGTTGGACTGAGCGGGCAGGTCCCTCCTGCGGCTGAGCCCCGGGGTGCTGCTGCTCTCCCTCCTCCTGCTGGGGACACCAGCCGTTGCCGCCAAGCTATGCGATTGTAAGGAGGAAATTAAGAGGAGTTTCCCGTAGTACTGCTCAGGAGGGAATCACAGGTGGAGGTGCAGCGGGAGCCCCAGGAGCCCCCGGGTATTTCTGTTATTCTGGGAGCGTACGTAACCGGTTCCTTAACCACACCGCAGCAAACCACCCTCACCCCGTCAGTGCCTCCTGCCCTCTCCCTCCCTCCAGCCCCCCGTGGCGCGGAATGGCGGTCCGGCTGGTAATAACTGCACAGGGAAAGGGGAAATAAAGCCGGGATAAAGCAGTGGGTTTACCTCTGCGCGCAGCGCTGGTAGGACCCTCGCGAGGCCATTATGTCTTGTTCCACTGTTCACATTTCAGGATGATTCAGCTATTCCTCAAAAGAGAGAAACAAATATTACCTAGGAAGCCTTCCAAAAATTAAGCTTGTGGTGCTCAAATCATCTGCAGAGAAAGATGAAGAGGTCATTTATCACGTACGGGTCCTTAGTCATAGAAAAGATACTGGATAGCAAGGGGGATGTTCAGTCTTGCAGACAAAACCGTAATAAGATCTGATTTCTGAAAGCGGGATTTTGTGGACTGCAATTTTGAACTCGGATGCTGTTTCCCGGCAGCAAGGGGGTATTTAATCTCCGGGAGCGCTCACCAGACGTGGCAGTGCCAGCATCACCGGCGGTTGCCAGGAGAAGAGTGGACAGCCTTCTGAAACATGTCCTTTAGTCAGGCTTCTGGGAGAATTTCTACAGCCTGTGACTACCGGAGCTCGGATGAAATTATCCTGTGGCCCCTCTGGCCAAATATTCCACAAATCTGTTAACACGCTTGAATTCCATTGATATCAAATTCCGTGCTCCATAGCCACGGCTTACGTGTACAATCACCGGGAAAAATTTTCCAATTGTTTGCCATTAGGACATACAGTTTTATCAAAATTAAAATATCTGACAAAATGCTATAGGTTTGGGGGTTGAACATGGTAGGCAAAACCTGTAACGGAGAAGGCGAGACTGACAGCCGGAGTTAATGGTTATCCTAAAACCAGGAGGAGAGGGGCAGAGCTGGAGCTGCGGGAGGAACCCCGTGGCCGGGAGCCTGAGCGTGAGGGGAAATGTGCTGCTTTTGTGAGAAGAGGACACTTGAAAAGGATGTGGATGATAAAGGGCAAATAAAACCTCATGGGGAAAGGCAGAGGAGGAGGAAGGCGACGCTTGCATTAAGCGGCGGAGAAGAGAGTAGACTGTGCTGAGCTTTGCCTTGGAAAAGAAATTTTGTTCCTCTGTGTGAACTGAATGAAATCCTATTACTTCAGTTCCAGATTCCTGCCTGTGGCAGGGCTGTCAGTGTGTTTGCTTTGGAAATTTGTATTTGGGGAAATCTGATTACAGTTGCTTATACGATCCGGCTTTTCTGCTGGATCCGCGTGGCACTCTGCTCCCAGGACCTACGGGAGCAGTGCTGAAGGACCGGCAGCAGAGCATCCCAAGAGCTCCTCATCCCCACCGAAATTAATGGTATCGTATTTCTAATCCGTTTTTATCGGTGGCGGTAATTCAATCCGGCGCTGAACCATGAGTGGATATTTCACCCACCCATTTGCTGGTGGTGGGCGCAGGGAAGAGACTGGACCAACTGTAACCCTGACCCTGGCACAGCACTGGGAGACCTCCTCTGCCTTGCTTTGGTTCGTACTGGCCGCCCGGGTGCCCTGGTGGCGGCGCAGAGGGCTCCAGCCGCCTCCGCTGTGTTTAGCAACAAGTTTGAGGCAGATAAAAATCCCCTGGAGAAACAGCGTTAGGTGGTAGGTGTGAAAAATCCCTCGGTGGTACTGCTTCAGTAATGCCAAAACTCGAGCAAATCTCTCTCTTTTTCTACCTTCAGAGGTGCAGAACCTCAAATAAGAAGTTTAATGCTGTTGGAAATCTTACACCATAACATTTACTTCATCTGGAAAATATTTTCACGTTTCCGAAGAGACACTGTGTCAGTCAGTTGTATATATTTACTTGTGAGAAGAACTGTTTTGAGTTATTTGATTCCTTCACTTGACTTTCTGGAAGTACGTTCTTGAAGGATAAAGAAATAAATAGCTCAGATTTAGGAAGATATTTTGAAAATATTGTAGACCGACTGAAGCCACTGCGTATGGCACATTACTCATGATGTTCTGCTCTCAGATGGATTTCTGCCTTTTGGATAGGATGATCCCTCACCAGCTGCCTTTAGGGAGCAGATTTATTTTTCAGACTCTGTACATAAAAATAACAGTTCCTGACAATGTTTTGTCTATCGCCGAACTGTGATGTTAATATTTGACTCGGGCTGGGCTGGGGCAGGGGGGGAGACCTGTATTACCAACGCCCGATCATGGTATGGGGGACCCCGAGGAAGGGTCATGCCATGGCATAAATCTGCAGGAGGAGGTTGAGTAATGGGTTCATCGCATGGATCTGCAAAGAAATCTGATTAATAAATTATCCCTTTACATGGAAATAACTCTCCTGTATGTTTCAGCTCCTAAAAACGCTCTGTAACGACTGCGTGCTTTTCCAGGTCATCAGGTGAAGGAGGGAAGAGTGGATTGGTCTTTGAGGTCCCTTCCAACTCTAAGCATTCTGTGATTCTATGATTTGATTCTATGATTGTCACCTTTGTGAATCAGATTATGACAAATTCAGAAGTACATCTCTGTTCAAGTGATCGCGTAAACCTGCTTGAACCTCAAAGGCGGTAGTGCCAACCTTCACTGCTTTAGGGAAGGTTCAGCCCTCCCCAGACCTTCATTTTCCCTAAAAACAATGTTTCTCTGCTAATTAAAAATACTCTGCATAGACTCTTAAATTTTCTGTGCTCACAAATGCATAGGCACAAGCGAGCACCGAGAATTCCCAGCTTTTTGAAGTCTGTCTGACCCCAACTCTTTTCTAGGACTGAAATACTTCCAGTCACCGGACCAGGGAAGGGGCTGGAGAACATCCGCAGGTGGAGATCCCAAAGCACACGAAACTGCTCTGTGCATGGGAAAAAGCTCTGTACTTTTAAAGTACATTGAAGGGATGCTAAAAATATACTCCAGGTTGCAAAGGTGGCTGTATGAGTTCAGATGGTAGGATTTTGGCAAACCAGTGAGACGAGACCGTGGCATTCAGGAGAGTAAAGCTCCAGTTGGGCAGACTTTGGTTAGGAAAATCATAGAATGGTTGGAGTCAGAAGGGACCTTAAAGATCATCTAGTTCCAGCCCCTCTGCCGTGGGCAGGGACATCATGGGAGATCATAAACATTTTTTTTCTCATTTTATTGGTACCCATTTACCTTGCAGAGCACTTTGCTTTTAAAGCAGTCGTTACAGAAGGCTCCAGAACACCCACATGTAAAAATCTGTATCTTTCCCTGATATCTGTGCAAAAGTTGTTATTTATCATATAGAGAATAGTGCTTTTCAGAGACGTCAGTAGAGCATGCCTCGTTACCCATTGATTCCATTTCTATATCTAATGTGATAACGAGACATAGAAAGCAATACATATTTCTTTAGAAAGAAAGATTCATTCTGAAATCCAGAATTCCTGCCTTCATGGCTGGGACGCTGCGTTCCTTTCCTCCCTGTGTGACGTTACAAGAAGTAAAGCATTCCCTTAGGGTTAAGCCATTTAATGCTTTCCATCATTTTCCATCCATGTGGAACTCTGTTCTCTTGTGCCCAGATGTATAAATAGTACAGAAAATGGAGTGAAGCGAAGAATTCCCCTGATGAAATGAAAGAAAAAGATCTAGCTTATTTTTTCTTGGCCATGTTGCTACTGCAAGCCTAAAAGCAATACAAAGCAACCAAAATAGATGCATTTTAGCCTTCTCCGTGAACAGATGTGACTCTCCAAGTACAGACAGCGTAGATGTAATAGGCATCGTTATTTTTAAAAGTACAAGAAAACTTTATTTTAATCTTCTTTTCAAACTGTCATGAGCAAGCTCAACCTTCTCTTAAACAAGAGCATCCATCAGTAGCAGTTTACTGGGAACTCGATAACAATGCCCACTCCACACAAAATAGAGGAAATGATTCTTTTTTACTTGTAGCATTTGGAATCCTTGGCTCAGCTTCTGCGAACGTGATGGAAATAGCTGTGGTCACACCCCAACGAGGTTTTTGCATAGTTATATTTCACTAACCGCGTGTATTTTTAGCCGCAATGGCAATAAGGGTGTCCCCGCGCTCCTCAGCCATCCACGCTCTGGTGGGATTGCGCTCGTTCCAGCAGCTCTCCGTTACAACTTTCTCCTTGTTTCGTTCCAGTTTCTCCGAAGATATTCCGTATTTCGACCGACATCGTTGTGAACGAAGGCAGCAACGTCACGCTGGTGTGCCTGGCCACGGGGAAGCCGGAGCCTTCCATTTCTTGGAGGCACATCTCTCCCTCCGGTAAGCACTGCCGCCCGTCACCTCCAGCTCTCCGCCACTAACAGGTTTTGCATTTTCAGTTTTCGGAAGTGTGACAGCATCATTTCTGTAACGTCTTAAAAAGCGTGTGCTTGACTAGACTTTGAGAAAATAAAAGCTGCTTCAGATTTCAGCCAAGAGCAGTGAAAACTATAATACTACTGTAATATGGGAACGCAGAAATAAAGGCACCCTAAATATGAGGATATTTTTAAGCTCGTTTTAACGGGCTGCAGGCATTTATCAAACAATCCCAATTAAAAGCAAACCAAGGAAATAATCAAGAACTTGCTCTAGCAGGGGAGTGGGACTAGATGATCTCTAGAGGTCCGTTCCAACTCTGAAAATTCCGTGATTCGGTGAAGAGCACGCAGGGCTGCCTGGAAGCATGAGTGAAAGTTAAAACCATGAACGCATCATGCAATAGATTTATTTTAGTGTACCTACCGTTGAACGATTATTCCGTCATACAGCCTAGTTTATGAGAACGGCTTTATTGAGCAAATGAAATTACGTGTATGATAAATGACAACCAAAACAGCATAGTTTCCATTGAATATTTCCGTCTATACTTTTAACCCCTGATAAGGCGTTGAAAGGGACGCTTTCGGCGCAGGCTGCAGGCGCCTCTGCGGGGGCAGCGCGGGGTCTGCCGGGCACCGAGCGGGGCCGTCCCCACGCCGCCTCTCACCGCTGCCGCTCTGGGGGTCCGGGGGGGTCTTGCGCTGCTGACAGGCGATGCGCCCTGCTTCCAGCTGGCTGTCGCCGGCAAGGCGGGTGTTGCTCTGGTTCTTTTCGAGGGGCTCTACGACGAGAATTGATTTTGCAGTGAAGGTCTTTCTGTTTCCTCACACAACTTTTATGAAATCCATGTAATTGCGGGGAAGAAACATGGACTGTCACGGCTTACCGCGGTGTCTCATCGTCCTCAGTAACGGTTTGCTTTACAAAGCAAGATCTGAAAAAAAATCCCCAACTTTTGACCTTTAAGACAATGACAATGAATTTTGCTTGAAGTGTCCATCAAGGGACTCCGGAAAAAAATTCAGTAGTAGCAGAAAATGGATTTTAACTAAATGTCAAATAAAATTTTATTGGAAACCGTGGTGATTCTTTAGAGTAATAGCTTAAAGCATTAGATCGTCTACAGAAAAGAGCTGTTACAATTTTCCTGGAGAGGCAAAAAGCAGAGAAGGGGAATTAGTGCACTCAGGCTGGAGAAGGGGTCTGAGGAGGAATCGGATCCTCCTCATCTTGAATTCAGACAAAATTAGTGCGCGTAATCACAAGGGCTTTCAGTGAGCCCACTGATTTTGTATCTTGACCAAAGGACTGAGAACGAGGACTGAGAGGAAAAAATGTGATCATGTAGCTGCGGACCCATTACGTGTACCGCAATGAGGACTGAAAATGAAATTCGAGGACAAGACTAATCAAGGATGCCGTGGTGCAGGGAGAGTCAATCAAAGCGCTCGCGGCGCAGCGACGGCGCGCTCTCGCCAAGCGCCGGGCACAGCAAACCGCGGGCAGACGGGTACGTTTTCTTACCACCGAGGATTTAAGGGCAGGCGGTTACAGCCTGTGTTTCCCTTCCCATCCCCGAGACCTGCTTCGTTCTGCCTTCACAGCCCTTCTTGGACCCAGAGGAGAGAGCATCGCGCATTTACCGTGCACTCGCTATTTCATCCTCTCTGCCGCAGCATCTTGACCAAGTAGCTGGCAGGTAATCCTGCAAATCCCATACACCTTCTCCTTTTAGGATTGTCCTTGGGGAAGGGCGGCTTGTTGGACTGGTTTTGCCGCATCCCCTACTCTCTCGCCAGGAAGCAGCAGGTTAGATGAAACGCAAACACGCGCTTAATAAATTTGGTACTCAAAAAAAAGAGAAAAGCACAGAACTGAACCACAGACTGGCTGAGGTGGGCAGGGACCTCAGCTGGTCCAACTCCTGCTCAGAACGTGTCCAGTTGGGTTTGAATAGCTCCACGGATGGAGGTCCCACAGCCTCTCTGGGCAACCTGTCCCAGTGTGTGATCACACTCACAGTAAAAAAGCTTTATTTCATGTTTAAATGGAATTCCTGTGAGCCCAGTGCCTCTTGTTCTGTCACCTGCACCTCTGAGGAGAGTCTGGATCCATCTGCTTTACACCCCCACCAGCTGCAGGATCCCCGAGCCCTCTCCTCTCCGGCTGAGATCCCACCTCCCTCAGGCCCGACGCTCTGGCCCCTTCGTCACCCTCATGGCCCTCCACTGGACTCGTTTCAGGATGTCCATGTCTCTCTTGTCCGGAGGGGCCCCTGAGGACACCCGTTGTAAAACAGTGGGACGTGCCCCTAGGGCCGGCTTGCTGCCTGGGGTGGCACTGGAAGTGGCTCCTCACGGCACAACTGGTTTACTTCACCTCCAGATGCATTTCCACTGGTGCTCATCAACGGCTCAATCTTGTTTATGGGCAAAGAGGAGGTACACCTGATAAAATAATAATAAATGCTTGTTTTATATATGTAATTGAGGTTTTAACTCAGGAATCATTCTTAGCCTAGTTCTAATGTTCACTGCCCATGGTGAGGGTGTTGGGCTAGGTGATCTCTGAAGGTCCCTTCCAACACAAACCATTCTGCGAGTCTATGACATACCAAAAAAAGAAAGAATACTGATGCAATTAAAGTTTTTATAGAAGCACTTACTTTCTATCCCTTCTCCTGGCGATTAGCACACCCTTCCCTGCCCCATGGGGGCTGAAGGTGGGGGGCTTCATTCTGGTGGGGGGCTGTTAGGGTGAGTTTCAGCATCCAGTATCCTTCAGGGGGAGGAATACGATGTTCACGGTGGCAGTTTCTTCTTCCTCCCTCTAGGATGCGTTTGGGGTCATTTTTAGATGTTTGCTATCATGCTGTTACACCTTTGCCCTTCCTCCATCGCTCCGCAGCGCCACATCACATCCCAATTCACGGTCTGTGCTGCCTCCTGGGTATGTCCGATGTCGCTCCCTTGTTCTCGATACCCCTGAACCCCACTTTGTCGAGCTCCAAACCTGCACTTCTTTAACCGACCGTGGGTGAGCTGTTCATGGCCGGGGGGTCTCCTGCATTACTCCGCTTTGCATCATCATCTAACAGCCGTAAATGCCTCGTTACACACAGGAAAAGAACCGAGAAAGCTGCAGGCAGGGCAGGACAAGCCCAGGCAGGGACAAGCCTCAGCGCTGAGGCCCGGCAAACTCATTGCGGGCGCCGCATTGCAGGGCTGCACCGTGACAAAGCCCGTTTCTTCCCAGCGCGGAGGACGGATGCGGCCGCTGCAGAGCACCGGGACCTGCCGTGGGTGTCCCCCGGTTGACGAACGGAGAGAACTCTGTCCGGACAGGAAGAACACCGGATCCAAATAACTTTTTGCTCAAAAATCTTGTAAAATGTGATGGAAGCAAACACCCGGTTTACAGACTATGTTCTGTTCTCTGGTCTACCAAATAAAGAAGAATTTTTCCATTTCCGTAACACTGTACCACTTCTGTGCTCAGGTGTATGTTCTGGCGCACGGACAGTTATAAATGGCGCTCAAATCCAATTAAATATCAGTCTGGCAAACAGGAAGCCTGGATTTATTAGAAAACAAAATGCAAGAGAATTGAAAACACCAGATTTCTGCCACAGTTTATATTCTGTCTGCAGCAAATTACCTTTATCTAAACCCGAGCTTCGTCTGCACTTTATAATTTCTACCAGTTTTCTCCTGTAATTCCCAGTGGCACTAATGAGGCTTACATGCAAGCGTCACACCTAGAATACAACACTCAATTATATTAAGGAATCATATTTAGAATATTCTGAAATTGTTTGTCAAAGCTGCTACTAAAAGATAAGAAACTGAAATCTCTGAATACAAATGATTCAATGTAGACTAATTCCGAAATATTATCGTGATTTGCATCACTGCAGCCTTTACTTGGCCGAGGTCGGATTCCATTTTCTTGAACAAGAGATAAAATGAACCTTTCGTAGGAATGAGAATAAAATGTATTTAGAGGTGATTTTTAACTTAGTACATAAATTATTTGCCTGGAATCTTTATTGTGCATGTTTAACTTGCAGTCATTATGTAAATGCTTTCATTATATAAATATTCATTATACAAACCCATTATGTAAATCCAAAAAATCTACACATTCAGTGTAACACCACAAGAAACGTGGGGCTGCAGTTTGTAATCTGCAAATCTCGTATTGTTGAAATGTCATCTGAATAAATTGCAGGTATTACTTATTTTGTTCTGACATTTAAGAGCAAAGTGCAGCATCGATAGTTTAAGAATGAAACCGGAATTTTAAAGAATTAAGGTCTGCCTGAAACGTAACTCCGGCTTTTAGCGCCCGTGTGCAGAGCGTGTGTGTGTTACGTTGCGGGTTTTGAAAATCGAGCTCTGCGGGTGCTGCCAGGAGCGGCGACAACAAAAGACATTCAGAAATCTTTTGATAGAACGTTCAGGTGCTGTATATTGAAATTCTTTTCCGCTTTGGTTTTGACAAAACTTTCCAAAGGCGAGTTTGCCCAGCGGGGAGGGACCGGTGGCCCCCGGGGGGCTGGAGATGGCCGACCGGGCGGCCGCGCTCCGACCGCGCAAGCCGGCAGGGACCGGCGGCGGAGCGGCTTTGCTGCTCGGGGCAGGCGGACGGGGAGAGCCCGGCATCCCCTGTGCTCGGCGGAACGTCAAGGAGGTTAAATTCTAAAGTTTCCAAAAGTTTTATGGAAAAAACGAAACTTTTTCTACCTGACTCCCATCAACCAAAACGGCACTTCTTGAAAATGCACACCATAGGCTAACGATCAGGGTATAGAGGGTCTTTATTTGTTTATGTTTGAATGAAGCAAACGGAGAGGAGCGGGGTGTCCCCCCCGTCCCAGCAGGCTGCTTTGGCGCTCGCCGCTACGGCACACGCAGAGGGGGCTCGGAGCGGCCGCTCTCCCATGGGAAGGGGGTGGT